AATTCCCAGGATCCCTATATGTTTTAATACGATCCCGGCTTATCTGAAAAATATCTTAGACTGTTCAATTTCCGGGATCCCTTAATTTTAATAGGATCCCGGCTTTTCTGGCTGAATTGATTGACAACTTGTGTTTACTTTAGGACTTGTGTCTGTCACTCATTCCAATACTAAATAACATATTACACCATAACTTCGTATAAAGAGACATCTTTATGAATTCTACCTATCTAACATTTATTTGGTCAAGGTCAACATGCCAGTAAATGTGCATAGACATAGGGACTTCATTTTATCTGTTTACATGCATCTTCATATATACTCATATTCCTCTTTGTTAAACTGAGAGAACTGGCTTCCATCACTTTTATTTTGATGTTCGCTCAAGTCTGTTCAGCTAACAGAACTGTCATTTTTACATTTAAACGCACCCCTGGAAAAAATTACGAAGCGAGTCGCTACTAGCTTTTTTAAAAGCTAACCTTGTATTGATATCAGTTGAAAGCAGATACTTTGAATACACAAATACAAGAATTACAAGCTAAATTAGAAAAAAACAATTCATATGCATAACATATTGGCGCATATCGTATTATTCTTCTTTGAAAATAGATACTTTGAATCTTTGCATAGTTTACACAAATACAAGAATTAATTAGGATCTAAACTTCATATTGCATTATATATTGACACTTCCTCGTATTAATTATCTTTGTCCTTATTATACAACCAATATATTTTTTTTCATTTTGCATTGAAATGCACTTTAGCTCGTAAACAACGACAAATGTCGACACATCCGTGAACTGTCGCACTCGAAGTAATTTCCATTAATCAGGGACAACTAATATAAAAGGGCCGTATTACATGTGTACGCAAGCAGTTCATTATAGCCCTAATTCAATTTAATGAAGCAACATCTTATTCCGCGTTCTTTTATTGTTTGATTCAGTTTTTACGCCTATTTCAAAACATTGCTTTTATCTTACTTATTTTGTCTCAATCAGTAAAAAGCAACAATGTTATTACTATGGTTATGGCGATTCTGGTAAACATGTTGAATCTACGTGTAAATATTAATATATCTAAAACAATAAATGCAACTAAATTGAAATAATTGTTTTCACAATACTATTTGATTTCGAATAAATATAAGTTCTGATACAAAATATGGATTTAATTTTTTATCTTATATTCTTTAATTTTATAAACAAACATTAGTTTACACAAAAGAATACTGTCAGTTAGATAATCATTAAAAAAAACCCACATATGATATATAATTATAAAATAAACATTCATTTGATATTCCAAATTTTACCGAATGTCACAAAATATATGGACATCACATAAATTACAGTGTTTAAATGTTAAAAGAAATATTAGTTTAATTGCTTTCCACACGTAAATTATTATGAAAATAATTTAGAACATACCTGAATATTTTTTCATATCAGACTGGCGATTCCGTTAGTTGTACCCATGCTGAAAATTTCATTTGACATGAAGGTGAGTGATGAGTCGCGAGCTGTACAATGGCACACTAAGGATGGCGCAATTTTACCATTATGAATGTAATTTTATACGCTGTTGCAAGAAATAGTTACTGGTGTGTTGACATAATTTTCCATGGAAAATTGATTTTAAAGGTACAGGGTTAAAAATAGTGGATTGTGGTAGAATTTGCAAGAATATCTTTGCGGTTCGGATCGGAATATCCTTCCCGAGAGGACCCATACATTGGGCGGGGTAGATATTACTAATATTGATTCATTAACCTCATTATCGACTATATGCGTATTAAAGTTAAACTTTGCTTATTATTGACAAAAAAAGTTCACACCTTTTTTTATCTAATCCAACAAAAAAAAAGATAAACAAAAAACCTGTAGCATAGATGTGATATAAGTAAATAATAACCAACTTTATTTCTAAGGTTACAATCTGTATTGAAACAACAAGTTATTAAGAACATCATTTTCGTACTGAAGTAGTTACTTGATTGTAGTATGCCACAATGAAAGAACAATATAAGAGGTTCTTTTCTCTTGAAGAGTATGAATCGGAAGCGTTTCAATTGATAACATTGTACACAAAACCAATAAACATAGTAATATTTATATATTTAATGCAATATAGCTAAATGGACAAACTTTGAATACTCATATACAGCACAAATATATTCAAATGTCACAAACAATCAACTTGGCCACTCAAGTCTAAACGAAGCCTACAGCAATCTTTTATAAAAATTTAGTAACCTGAAACAGAGCTTCTACAATAAAAGTTATTCGATTTTGTCACCAGACTCTTTTTAATTCAAGAGATATGTTAGTCCAACTAAATGTCAGAGCACGAAATAATACATCAATACAGCATATCTAATGAAATATTAATAAGTAATAATACAAATTCAAGCTGTGTGCTTTGATTGCATCATTTATAGAATATTTCATTTTAAAAATGTTGTATAAACATTTTGATATGCTTGAATGTATTTTGATTTGATATTTTGTTGTCAAGAAATTCTGTGATTTACCACTGGGAATGCATTTTTTTTTCTTGATCGTAGTAGGTCTATATGACGTTTGTTACATTTTTCATATAGACATTTATCCAGAATGAAAACTATTTCATATAATTTATTTAACCATTGCATGATCATAAAACATTTAACGCAATTTGAAGTGATTGATGTCGTTTTTAAGGATGTTGCTTTTGTTTTTGTTGCTGTTGTTGTTGTTGTTAGGTTTTTTGTTGGGTTGTTTTTTTTTGGGCGTGGGAGGGGTGCCAATAAATATAATTTGTTTGCTAATTTCAAGGACAGATTAATCACGATAAAATCATTCTGTTTCTTATCAAGTATAATAATACACTTTATTCACTTTATACCTTCAATCAACTTTCAATTTAGTATTTTTCATTAAAGAAACTGAATAAAAATAATTACAATAAAAAGTTTAAGAAAAATATACGGATGCGCTATAAAAGAAAAGTGAACAACATTAATTAGGAAATATTCAAGATCAGCGTTTGATGTGGGAATAGATTGCAGAGTACGTGAGTAATATATATGCATGAAGTCCCCGAGGAACAATATTGTTGACAGAATAATGAGAATTACGGATATTAATATAGTCCTACAGATGAATATTTAGCGAACAGAATGTCATTATTTCGAATTGCACTAATTGATTGCTCATTTTACAAATACTTATCGTTGATTGAAACATGTCATGGAAAGGTTAATATTCTTTAGGCAAAATTTCAAGCATTGCACATTAATTTTTCAATATTTGAGACATCAAAATATTGTAAATTAAACGTGATTTTTTTTAGCCAAAGCAATTAATTTCGATAGGTCCTTATACAAGTATAAGTATACATGGCATTCACGGTATCATAATTGAAACTCTCTTTTTTGTCGGTTGTACAGCAGTTGCAATGTAAATCTCGTTATTTATCTAAAGTGACCAAATTCAAAATATTTCAAAGCCTAATAGTTTACGGATGTCACAGTTATTTGACCCATACCACTTAAAAAGTATCTTAAGACAATGCAATTGTTCGAAACAAGTTCATACTCCAAATGTTTCTTAACATTTTATTGTTTTATCAAAATTAAATATATGGATAAGGATAAACATACACATTTGATATCTTAATTTTCAGTTCATTAGTTTCTGTTAAGTACACATGAAAAAAAAACTTAACAATTGTAATTTAGTTACAAATAACAATGAAACAATTAAAAAAACACAATACGAATGATATTTAAGATGACTAGAAAACAAACAATTGTTCGAAACATGTTCATACTCAAAAGATGTTCTTAACATTTTATTGTATTTATGAAAAATTATATATATGGATAAGGAAAAAACATACACATTTGATATTTTAATTTTCAGTTCCTTAGTTTCTGTTAAGTACACATGACAAAAAACTTAACAATTGTAATTTATTTACAAATAACAATGAAACAATAAAAAACACTATAAGAATGATATTTAAGTTGACTGGAAAACAAAACATGGGGGTGAAATCATTTTGTTTTGAGCATTTAAATCGGATAATGTAAGTATACAAATATAATTTTAGGAAACGTAAGAAATAAGTTTTTTAAAATGAAAATGATGCATTTTATCTTTAAAGTTATTTATCTATTGCTTTTAAGCAATAGAGTCATAAATAAATTTTGAAACTTTAGATAAACTTGAAAACTCACACATCAGAGCAAAACCAGAACGTAAAGTGAAGAATAATTATTTCAACATTGATATTGTTTAAATGCACTTCAATAAATGATGATTCTTGTCCAATGTAAATTTCCATTGATATGATCCATCTCATTGAGCTTTTGTATGTTTGACCTTCTGAAAGTTGAAGGTAAGTAAAATAGAACTCACATTTCAATCATATTGTGTAGGATTTGAAGTCACATCGACCCTTTCTAGATCATTTTTTTTCCTGATGGAAGATCTTCATATTATGTTAAAGGCACAATAGGGCACCTGAGTAGAACAATTTTCCTTCCCAAGGTAGCTCGAATGCTTCCTCACAGGAAAAAATCAAAAAAAATCCTGGGGTTCTTTTTTTACAGCGGTGAGTGGTCTGTGATCAATTTCTGCGACTCTATCTACTGAGCCACAGAAGGCCATTTGAATAATGTGATATAAATGTAAAGCTTTTTTCGATCATTGTTTCTTGAGTTTTAATTCAATCAAAACATTATTATAAAACAGTTTTTATATCTAACTTTCTCCCGATTTTATGCTGGAGTAATACAGTAATAAAAATAAGTAATAAAGAATTATAAATGTGAATTTTACATTTAATTTTCAAATCCTTTCTTTCGTTTTATCCCGTTTATCATAACAAATCATATATTTGAAAAGGTGGTTTATTTATTAGATATATGCTATTCATGTTTCTTTTAATTGTTATATGAATAAAAATGTTTACATTTAGACATATGTTTCCATTTTATAAAACACTTTTCAGATATTTTGAAAATGATTATCTGATATCTGTGTATTTGAAGGAGAGCTGATTCCCTCCTTCAGTTTTAACATTAAATAGAAGAAAACGTGACTCCAAGTGTCCGACACATCCTTTGTAAACTTATCCCCCATGCATATTTCCCAGCGCCACATAAGCGCTTCGTAAAATACTTCGAAATACTCCGGATTGAAACCCGAAAACTGTTTATGTTGTTGACCCAGAACAAGTAATATCTTATTGAGCTCATCTTTGTCAGTATCCTCATCATCTAAGCAATGAACTGCAGCACCTATAGCAAGAATAAAATCTGTGCCCATGTGCTCTAATTGATTGGTTCTTTGAAAGTTCTGAATGCCGTACCATCTCAACATGAAACAATTTCTTTACATCTGGGCTAAGTTCAAATATCCTGAGAAACACTTGAAGGCCATTTTCAGCAAGATCCTTTGTCATATATTTC